GCATGAGATTATAATCTTTGGGTATATACCCAGTAATGGGAGGGCTGGCGGGTCATATGGTACTTCTATTCTAGATCCTTGAGAATCGCCACACTGTTTTCCATAATCGGTTGAACTAGTTTACAATCCCACCAAAAAAGTGTAAAACTGTTCCTACTTTCTCCACATCCCTCACAGCATCTGAGTTGTTTTCCTGACTTTTTAGCATGGATCTGCCATTCTAAACGGGTTGATGGTATCCATTGGTTTTTGATTGTGCATTTCTCATCCGGCAGTGATGATGAGCATTTTTCATGTGTCTGTTACTGCGTATAATGTCTCTTTGAGAAATGTCCTGTTCATATCCTTTGCTATCTTTTAATGGGGTGCTTGTTTTTCTCTGTCAACTTTTTTGAGTTCTTGTAGTGTCTGGAATTAGGCGCGTTGCTGTCTGGATCGAGTGAGATTGCAAAAATTTTCCCCATTCTGTAGGTTGCCTGTTCACTCTGATGGTAGTTCTTTGCTGTGCAGAAGCTCTTTAGTTTAATTAGATCCCATTTGTCAATTTTGGCTTTTTGCCATTGCTTTGGTTGTTTAGACATGAAGTCCTTGCCCATGCTATGTCCTGAATGTATTACCTAGGTTTCTGTCTAGGGTTTATGGTATTAGGTCTAAACATTTAAGTCTCTAATCCATCTGAATTAATTTTCATATAAGGAGTAAGGAAGGATCCAGTTCAGCTTTCTACCTTATGGCTAGCCAATTTTGCCCAGCACCCATTATTTAAATAGGAATCCTTTCCCCATTTCTTGTTTTCTGGGCGCCTGTAATCCCAGCTACTTGGGAGGCCGAGGCAGGAGGATCGCTTGAACCTGGGAGGCGGAGGTTGCAGTGAGCTGAGATGGCACCATTGCACTCCAGCCTGGGAGACAAGAGCGAAACTCCATCTCAAAAAATAAAATAAAATAAAATAAAATAAAAATAAAGAAAGAAAAAAAAGAATTTGGTGTTTATTCCCCCAAAGATTTCCTGTATATATGATATGCCTATTTCACATCAATAGAAACGTACTGTTCTGTGGCTGCTTTATGTTTTTCCTAAATGTTATACAGTATAATCTTTTACATGACAAATACTAAAATTTTGCTTTATCTCTTTTAATGATGACACAGTCTATCATTAAACATATAAACTATAATTTATTTAATCAAAACTCCACTGATATAACTTGGGTTGTTTCTAATTGTTTTGCAATAACAAATAATATTGTGACGAAGATCCTTACAGGGGTATTTTTCAAAATTTATGTAATTATTTTCCCAGGATTAATTCCCATGAATAACTTTATCAGATTAAAGGAAATGCAAACAAATATAAATTTTAAGATACACATGCACAAACATATACACGTCTTAATTTCTAAAACTTTTGGACCAATTTATAGATTTGCCACGTTATGATAGTGTTTGTTTACCCACATCCCTCCCATCAACGGTTGTTATTAACATTTTTTTCTCGATTTTTATAACCTGAAGGTTGAGAAATTGCAGTATTTTAATTTGAATTTTTAATTTCTTTTTTCATTACTTTTACTTTTATTTATTTAAATAAGTGCCATTTATTGAGTACTTACAAGGTGCTAGTAAGTGCTCTATCCACATTACATAAGACAATTCATTTAATCCTTAAAGTCATTCTTTGAGCTATCATCCCTATTTTACAGACAAATTGAGGGATAAAAATGAATCCATATTCTCATTTTATATCAACCAAATATCTCAATAATTGCTCATCAGAGCTGATTAACAGATGATAATCAACATGTTCAATATTTGGTATTTCATTTACCTTACAGGGCATTGTTTTTTTTTTAACTTTTATTGTAAGCTCAGGAGTACATGTGCAGGTTTGTTATGTAGGTAAATTTGTGTCATGGGGGTTTGTTGTACAGATTATTTCGTCACTCAGGTATTAAGCCCAGTACCCAACAGTTATTTTTCCTGATCCTCCCCCCGCTCCCAGCCTTCACCCTCTGACAGGCCCCAGCGCGCATTGTTTGCCTCTATGTGTCCATGTGTTCTCATCATTTAGCTCCCACTTATAAGTGAGAACATGCAGTATTTGGTTTTCTGTTCCTGAGTTAGTTTGCTAAGGATAATGGCCTCCAAGCTCCATCCATGTTCCTGAGAAGGATATGATCTCATTCTTTTTATGGCTGCATAGTATTCCATGGTGTATATGTACCATATTTTCTTTATCCATTCTACCATTGTTGGGCATTTAGGTTTATAGCATGTCTTTGCTTTTGTGAATAGTGTTGCAATGAACATAAGGGTGCATGTGTCTTTATGATAGAACTATTTATATTACATTGAGTATATACCCTGTAATGGGACTGCTAAGTTGAATATTTCTGTTTTTAGGCCTTTAAGGAATTGCCACGCTGTCTTCCACAATGGTTGAACTAATTTATGCTCCCACCAAAAGGGTATAAGCATTCCTTTTACTCCACAACCTCACCAGCATCTGTTATTTTTTGACTTTTTAATGATAGCCATTCTGACTGGAGTGAGAGTATCTCATTGTGGTTTTGATTTTCATTTCTCTAATGATCAGTGATATAAGCTTTTCTTCATATGCCTGTTGGCTGCACGTATGTCTTTTTTTTGGCAAAGTGTCCATTCGTGTTCTTTGCCCACTTTTTAATAGGGTTGTTTGTTTTTTACTTGTAAA